AGTTTTTCCAGAGCTAGTCTGTTTCATGGTCTTTTCTGAGATTTATATCTTAATTTACTGTTTTACTATTTCATGATTATTTTTGTTTTGTTCTTAATAATTTTTCTTGTATTATTTTCCCAGCTTCTCAAGTTGAATGCCATTTTAACTTCCTTAATAAAAGTCACAGTTACTAACATTGTAAGGTATGACTTTTCCTCTGAATATATCTTTATCCATCCCCCTTAAATTTATATTTGGTGTTCTAAGTTATAAATAATTTATAATTTCAGATTTGACCTTATTTTTTACTGGAGTCTTCTGAAGTTATTTTAAATCTCCAGGTAGTTTATTTTGTTGTTGTTTTTAGCTTTTCTTACAGACTTCTGGTTTTACTGCCTTGTTGTCAAAGAGGGTATGGCTTGTACAGTTTGCGCATTTTGGAGATCATGGTATGGTGGATGTTTTCTTGAGACCTAATAAATTTTTTGTTTTAATATATATCCTGAGGAAACTGAAGAAGAAAATATGTTCTCTGAAGGGAACAAAATTCAATCAGATACATTCATTTGACCTTATAAAGTATATTATGGACCTTTAATTTTAATTTACGTGATTCATTAAGACCAAGAAAGATGTTAGTATCCTATTATTGTATTTCTGTCTATTTCTTGTGTTTCTAACAGTTTTTGGTTTATGTTTGATGTTATTTGGCAAATGAACTTTTTATATTTAAGGGAAAAATATTTTCCTTTAAAGACTTGTATACCTTTGTGAATTTTACCTGATTTTGTTGTAACAGTTGTTTCTGTAGAAATACATAGTTCAGTAAAATATTTGTGTCTGTCTTTAAGTCAACAGAAATCTTTCAGGAGTCCTCTGTATCTTAACAAGACACTTCGGAAGTTCTTGACCTCCCTAAGTAGGCTGATGTCCTCATGGCCTACTCCTGAGCCAAAGCAAGAGTGGCAGTGTGGACTGAGGCCACTACCAGGGAGGGGGACTTGTGCCTCTTCCATCACCTTTTTCATACTTACAGCTCTTATTCATTCATTCATGTTTTCATTTAGCAAATATTTATTGTGATCTGTATGCCCAAGCCCTGGGAACACCATAGTGAAAAGACTTACTTTCCCCAGATCTGCTCTGTTCCAGTGGAGGGGTGAGCTGCTCCGTTGCACGCATTCATGGAACTCAGCTGATTGGAGATTTGTAAGGCTCCCCTCAAGACAGAGCTCTCACAGGCAGCAGAGGACAGGGGCCAGCACTCACCCTGCTTCTCCAGACCTAGGATAACCCGAGCCATTCTGAAGACCTCATGAACACCAGGCTTCAGGATTGGTGACCCCAGGCGGATCCCACGATGGCTCTGAACGTGCCTACTCTGCTGCATCACCAGCCCACTCAGGTCCTCTGACTTTTGTAGTAGCATTTTTCTAAGGAAAATCTGCAGACTAGCTGCTTCAGAGCTATTTGTGTTGCTGGCCCATCCCAGGAAGACTTCCTAGATGAGGACCCTTGCATTGTGGACCTGGAAATCTTCATTCTAGAAAGCTCCTTATACTAGACAGAAGGGCCCCAAAGATATCCACATCCTAATCCCTAGAACCTGTGACTATGTTAACCATACTTGGCAAAAGGGCCCTTCAGACAGGGAGATTATCCTGGATCATCTGGGTGGGCCCAGTCTAATCACACAAGTTCTCAGCAGCAGAGAACCTTTTCTTGGGTTAGAAAGAGCTGTGATGATGGAAGAAGGGTCAGAGAGATACGATGTTGCTGGCACTGAAGGTGGAGGAGGGGGCCACAAGCCAAGGAACAGGGACAACCTCTAGAAACCAGAAAGGGCAAGGAAACTGCTGCTCCCCAGAGCCTTTAGACGAGAACACAGCCCTGTCAACACCTTGATTTTAGCCCAGTGAGATCAAACTGTAAGACAAGAAATTTGTGTTTTAAGCAGCGACTTTTGTGATTTGTATGGCAGCAGTAGAAAACCAGTGCACTCTCACGTGCTTTTTATATACCCTATGGTCTGAGAGCCTCTGCCCCATAAATCCATTCAACTATGTGGGTTTCACATGTCATGTGGCCTTTAACCAATGACCTCTTCATTCTGGCTGCTACTACCACCAGCTTGATTCCCTAGTTCAAATTCTGAAGAGGGAAGGGACGAACAGATGAATACGCAGGTATGATTCATCCAGCTCATTTCTTTTCACTCCAGGACAATCCTTAGGATTGGCTGTGCTAGGAGCAGATGCCAGTCCTCCTTTGGCCAGAAGGCCAGACTCCAAGACAAGGTACATGGCTTTATAGGAGAGAGAGGTTGGAGAAGACCTGGGGGAAAAAGCTGTGGGGGAGACCTAAAGATGGGCGTGGGTTTGCCAGGACACGGAGGATAGAGGGAGAATTCCAGGCACTTAGGCTTAAGAGGACAGGCCCTTTGTGGGCGGGCAGGGAGGCAGGAAGCAGCATGGTGTTGCTGGACTGAAACCTGTGGTCGCGGCAGGGGCTGCCCAGGGAAAGTGGCCAGGTCTGAGGGTTTTATCTGCCAGGCTGAGGGGCTGCCCTTCCCATGTGGGCTGGAAAGCCAGGGAGAGGTGAAGATTGGCAGTGCTTCAGGGGCCAGATTGGAGAGCTCCGAAGCTGGGCAGTCCTCACTTTCTTGGCTCTAAATTCCCTGAAACCCGAGTCTGGATTTACTTAAGGCTTGGCTGGAAGAAGTAGGGAAAGGGAGAAAGGAGAGGGGGGTTCCAGAGGAGGAAGAGAAGTGTTGATGTACAGAAGACATAATTAGGCCAGGAACTTTTATTGTGAGAATGTTCTTTTTAAAAGGATCCTTTTTTTCAAAGGCCCCTTGTCTTTGCCAGCCGTTAGAAACCAAATTGAGTATTATTCCAGCCTGATTAAGCTTGCTGGTATCTCAAAATACTGAAATTATAAATATGTAATTACAAACAATACCAAACTGCAAAATAGGCAAAAGAAAAGTCCCACAAAGTTCTGATTTTGCCACTTTTTCAATTCCAAATTCTTTCCCTAGGAAGAGTCTGATGCTGAGCCTGGCCTGTCTGTGGTGGGGAAGGAAGCCTGGGACACAGCCACTGCACCTGCCTCTGGGATCTGGACCTGATGCCCAGCGAGTAACCAGCAGGTTGCGGCCCCCACTGGAACACCCCTGGGAACCACATGGGAGCGACAGGTACAGGGGCCAGTATAGGGTTAGGGCTTGGCCCATCAGGCCCAGGCCAGCACAGTGAGGCACATTTATTTGTATACAGGAGTTGGATTTGCATTCTGAAAAGGTAGCACACATGACAGACCTGTGGACAACCTGGCAGTGGCCATGCCCTGAAGGCAGGCCCAGGTGCAGTTGCTGAAAGGAACCCATGCCCCTCCCAGCTGTACCAGCTGAGGCCCCTCAGGCTGCTGCATGAGTCAAAACACTGAAGGCCGGGCACAGTGGCCCACGCCTGTAATCCCAGCACTTTGGGAAGCTAAGGCGGGCAGATCACGAGGTCAAGAGATTGAGATCATCCTGGCCAACATGGTGAAACCTCGTCTCCACCAAAAATACAAAAATTAGTTGGGCTTGGTGGCGCACGCCTGTAGTCCCAGCTACTCGGGAGGTTGAGGCAGGAGAATCGCTTGAACCCAGGAGGCGGAGGTTGCAGTGAGCCAAGATGGCACCACTGCACTCCAGCGAGACTCCATCTCAAAAAAAAAAAAAAAAACTGGAAGTACCAAGATTTCTGTTGTATAGCAAGACTTTCTTTGGAAATGAGGTGAATTCCTTTTGTTCTGTGGAAACCAGGGATTAACATCACAAGAGTAAAGGTGACAAGGTTAGTGGGAGTGCTTGCACAGTCTGAGAGATGGATAGCTTTGCATTGGTCCCTTCCCCTTCTCAGATTTTAAAAATTTGAGAAAACATATTGGCATGAAAACGTATTCCTCTACCCTTAGTATTCATTTAAACAAGTGTTTAGTTGAAACCTTATTAAAAACTTTAAGCCCACCCAGGTACAGAAGGCTTTGCTTGTACAGCAGCTAAAGTATGTTTTCATTTCACCATGAGTGATGCTAATACATTGTAAATAGTTCTTTATTATGAGTTTATGTAGTACTTGGTACATAATTTCATTTAAATATTTGAAATAACTCTTGAATATTTTTCTGATTATTGCTAAAATAACATTTACATTCATACCTATAAATCTGAGGAATCACTATTACATATACACAGGAGGCCACGGTCAGTAGTCTAATAGTGCTGTTTACCAGAGTAGTGTAAACTGCTTTCAGAATCAGGGAACGACTCTGATTCCCTTCATCACTAATGAAGGTAAGAAATAAGTGCTCTTCTTAGGCCAGCGACACTTCTGACAGGTCTTGACATCCCACATATGGACTGGTGGGTGAAAATCTCAAGTCTACTTCCCTCCCCAGTTTTTTTGGTGGTTTTTTTTTTTTTTTGAGACACCAGGGTAGAGTACAGTGGCACGATCTCGGCTCCCTGCAACCTCTGCCTCCCGAGTAGCTGGGACTACAGGTGTGTGCCACCACACCCAGCTAATTTTTTTTATTTTTAGTAGAGACAGGGTTTCACTGTGTTGGCCAGAATGGTCTCAATCTCTTGACCTTGTGATCCGGCCGCCTCACCCTCCCAAAGTGCTGGGATTACACGTGTGAGTCACTGGCGCTGGCCCCTCCCCAGTTTTAAGAGTCACCATGGCCGGGTGCGGTGGCTCAAGCCTGTAATCCCAGCACTTTGGGAGGCCGAGGTGGGTGGATCACGAGGTCAAGAGATCGAGACCATCCTGGTCAACATGGTGAAACCCCATCTCTACTAAAAATACAAAAAATTAGCTGGGCATGGTGGCGCGTGCCTGTAATCCCAGCTACTCGGGAGGCTGAGGCAGGAGAATTGCCTGAACCCAGGAGGCGGAGGTTGCGGTGAGCCGAGATCGCGCCATTGCACTCCAGCCTGGGTAACAAGAGCGAAACTCCGTCTCAAAAAAGAGTCACCATGTCACATAAAAGCTACAGGGTCCCACACAATGCCCTGCTGATCCTCGGAGGTGTCATGTGGCCCATCTACCAGCACCCTGTTCGCATGCTTTTCAACAGGCCTTATGAGCCCCACCCACTTTTTGTCAAAGTTGGCTTAATGGTCCCACTGGCCGGGGTCCTGCTCATCACTGTCTTCCTCTGAGTCAGCAGACACCCTCTTGATTCTCTGGAGGGCAGCCTTGATGCTCCTCTCAAGGTCACTGGTGTGTCTGCTGCTGGTTGGTTTGCTGCTGGGGTTTGGGCCGAGGTCCGGGTGAACTTTCTTCAGTTTGACCCCTTGCCTTATGGCAGCCAGAATGTGCTCATTGACTGAGGCGTGGGGAGGGCACACTGCCGGCACTTCGACCTTCCGGAGAGGGGCTCTGCCATGCCTTAAGGAGGCCAACACTTCATCCATAGATCCTGAAATTGGGTAAGCAGAGCAATTACCATCAAAAAAACATGCTCCCTCACCAGAACGTTATTGCTATAACATTGTTAAATCCCACATCAGTTAACAGCATGATTTAAACAAATAATCATTTCATTAAGCAAATGCCTTCATTACCTGCTAGACACATCAATGATAAGCTCCCTGGTTGAATCCAGGATAGCTGAATAGCTCATGTTTTAGCTTAACCACTTCCTTTCTGCTAACTTCTTCAAATCCATAGCAACTGAGAAGCATAGGCATGTATACCTTTTGTTAGAACAACTGTTTTTTAAGACAAATGTGATCTGTCCCTCCCATCCTGAAGACAGTTATGGATGCCTGGGGTGGAATAGTCTTACCCAGTGTGCATGACCTAGATACCTCTGAAGCTGTATCTCCTTCATTATCCTGTCCAACTAAAATCTTTAAAAAAAAAATTTATCCTGCTCAGTGTAACTTCAGTCTTGGATATTAGTCAGTGATGACTCATTCTATGACAATGAAGTGAGTAGGTTTCTACACATGAAAAGGCTTAAAATAAAACTTTAACCGGCAACTCAATGAACCGGGAGGGGTAGCGCTGGCACATTTTTCCGTATATAATGTGTTTAATTCCACCTACATTACCCTGAGGTGTCTTAGATACTTTATTTTTGAGGATGTGAAATGCTGTCAAAACACAAATTAGATCAGAGCTTCAAGGCATTGGTGAGGAGAAGCTATTTTTCACTCTGGCACTTGGAGACCCCCGAGAAGGTGAAATCTTTTATCGCCTGCTGGAGACAGGCCTGATTGTGGCCACTAATTTAGAGATCTTCCAGGTAAAGCTTCAGGATCAATAATCGTTTCTAGTTCAGGACTGAAAGGCCAGGCTAACAAAAGGCTATTCTGCTTTGGTTTTAAAGCTGTAACTTCGCATTACAATTCTCTTCTGGGAGTAATGAGGCAGGTTTCAAAATCAAGGGCATTCTGTGGTGCAAATTCACACTTTCTTATTGTTTCCTGTGAATTAGCAGTGTTTGTGAGTTGAACAGGTCTTCCCAAAACCATGTGCATTAAACCTGGGCTGGGAATGTGGCACCCCCACAAAGATCTGCCCACTTCCAAAGTCTGATCTAGACACAGGCATGTCAACTCTTACTTTTCATACACAGGACAGTTGTTGCAAACCCCATGGAAACAGGCCATTGGGTCTCCACCTAATATTTGGACATTTTCATTTGTACCTGGTTCTAGGCACAGTGAAGCTCTGAACTTAGAATAGTCAAACTGATTAACCAGAATCACAATTTGGAACTGTTATTCATATCAACTATTTCAGTAACCTTGCACAGTATAGGTGAAGGTGCTCAAGCATACTTTTAAAAACAAATTAACAAATTTTGCTAGGATTTATCTAAAACACACACCCACACACACACACACACACCACCACACCCCCACACCCACAAAGCAGTAGGCTCCAAGTCTCCTCAGATTTAGGCCATTCTCCTCAATACTAGATGTCTAAAGCCATAATTCAAATTCTGTGTGAGAACTATAGCCATATTAAAGAAACAGTCAAGAGTATTCAGTGTACTGCACTTGCCAAGACAAGTGGCCCACTTTTTCTTTCTGATCGATTACACTTTAGAAAGATTTCCAACAGTAAGGGTCCTCAGTCTGCTTGTCAGTCTGCAAGAACAGCCTTCTACATCTGGCTAATATGCCTCTACAGTAATTTCCAACCAGTATTCTGCTTAAAATACAACTGGATTCTGTAAAGGACTCAGATGCAACAGTAAGCATAATTTAAAACAGTATTGAAAAGTATTCCAATGGCAGACGTCAAATACATACTTAAGTTTTAAAAAACTTCAAATAGGTTGATACTTTAACAACCTCAGAAATCCCAAGCCATGCGATCATTAAAGGTACAGAAATGGTTTCTTCAAACTGAATTAACATTTATGAAACGAGATTTAGGCTATACTATACTAACTTTGCAATGAAAGAATAATGATACTCAAGGCAGCAAATACTGGAACATTTTAAGGCTAGAGAGAATTCTAAAAATGATTTCCATTTGAAGATGATGGCTTCTGAAGCTAGAATGCTTCAACAGCTTAACAACCCATGGGAGCAGGGACAGAATTCCAGTGGATTACCTGGACAAGGGAAATGTCCCAAGGAGTCACTCAGCAGTGGTCTCTCAGCAGGTGATTCACACACTAGAGGAAGTGGCTGGTCATCTTTCACTGGAGCCCTGAAGCCTAAGTTCTGATGAGTTGCCGCTTCAGAGGATGAGGACAGAGCAGGCAGAGGGGGTGGTGGTGGTGGAGGTGGAGGTGGAGGAGGTGGCAGTGACAATTCCTCACTGGATTTGGAATGTGTTTCATCACCAACTGGAACAAAAACCTGGACAGAGGTATTTCCATGACAGTCTTGACACTTGGGGGTTTTCACGTTACTAGCTTCCGATAGGGGAACACCTCTAGTTTTCCTAGAGGACGGATGAATTACTGACACCACCTGGGAAGCTGGCAAGCACGTCTGCTGGGAAACGCCACCTGGCAGGTTTGGAGCCACAGGTTCTGAACCAGAGGTGTTTCGGACAGATTGACCTAGGTGCTTCTGAAAATGAAAAACCACGGTGAGGAATCTGCCACAAATGCAAACCATCAAAATGCTGAAACTGTCTAGAAATAAATTTATAAACAAACATGCATTTCTATGCATGGATGGTCTGATTCACAAAGTAGCTCTGTCTTATTTGTACAGCCATCCTTGCTACTGAAGCCATTTTTCATGGATTAAAGGATAAGCATTTATATCCTTTGATCAGGTATTACCTTCTCTATAGTAAAATGAAGATACAAAAGCATACATATAGAGGAAAATAGTCATCAATTTTTAGTATGGAAAATTAGAAATACTAAAATTCGAATAGGATGTTAGTTTAAAAAATCGTGACAAATCTATCCAAAATGTTAAGTACTCATAAAAAGTCATAAATAGTACAAAACCTGAAACATCTGAAAAAATCAGATAGTGTTCACTGAAAACCAGATATAAAATATATGTATTATGATCATAAATGAGAAAAGCTCTATGAAAAATGCCAGCAGAGTGGACATCCAAGTGGCAGCTATAACAGAGCCTGTGGATATTTCTTTTCTCTTTTAGGCTTAAATTTCATAATTTAAAAAATATAAATTTAAAAAGTTCTGGTCTTTCAGGTATTCCTTTGACAAAGAAAAACCTAGCCCTACAAAGAGCTAATCTTGAGAGGAGGTCCCTAAAGAAGGCATTGATTAGCCAACGAAACATAAAATGTAATAGTGTGAACTCATTAAAATGAACTAGGCCTATACATATTAACATGAATATATCTCAAAAACCTAAATTAAAGAAACTGGCAAAGGATGCATTCAATATGATCCTATTAATGCAAATTCCAGCTGTCATCCAACTGATCAGGTCATACCTGATATTGGGGTTCCCTGAAACACCCAAGGATCCCCTCTGTGGCATCCTGGCTGCAGCATGCATGCCACTGTGACTCTGGACTATTACGTTCTGTCTTTTTTTTTTTTTTTTTTTTTTTCCAGAGATGGGGTCTTGCTTTGTTGCCCAGGCTGGTCTCAAACTCCTGGGTTCCAGCAATCTGCCTGCCTCAGCTTCCCAAACTGTTGGGATTACAGGCGTGAGCCACGGCACCTGACCAGATTCTCCTTATATTGCACAGGCAGTCTGTCCACCCACAATAAATTAAATCCTTTACCTCATGCAGCCCTTCAGATAGTCAAAAAAACAACTTCCTTGATCTCACCAGATATCATATATCACATGATTTTGTTTCTAGTTTTCTCCCTCTCCTACTTCTTCCCTTCCAAATGTGCTCAAATTGTCTCTGTCCCCTTCCTTCAAGGGTGGCACTTCCTTATAAACAGAGAACTCCCTTATTCTACACAGGATGCTGCTGTCCATACATCCCAAAAGCCTGTGAGCTTTTGTCACACAGGTGGCTCATTAAGCTGAAGGAAACAATTAATTCTCAAATTCTTTTCCCAAAAATTTAAGCAACTCAGACACTTTCCTATCACCCCATGCAACTACATACTGCATATGGGCTTTTTTGGCCTAGAAAACCAGTAATATATCCCAGCTTTAGGTGAACTTCTTAGTGTGCAACTAATTGTTCCAGTTTCATTGGGAGCTTGGGAGGCCTGATTCTGTCACTTAAATCTGGCTGCCCATCCCATTTTCATATCACCAACACATGAAAAAGTAATCTTCTGTATTGCCAAACAACTCCTTGATCTGAATGAGGGCTGAGAAGGACAGGCTGGCCACCCTTGGATCCCTTCCTCCACACTGACTTTTCTGTTCATCAAAACTCTCTTGGTGGCGGTAACCAGCCAGTTCGTCTCTACCTCACTGGCTCTACATTCATCTGGCATTCATGCAGTTCCTATCAATTCAGTCTTCCTGCTGCAGTTCACAACCCAGGCCCCTATCCAGGGCAGTCATATCAGAATTTCTGTGGATGGGCCTGGGCCTTAAAAGAAGCTCCCCAAGGGGATTCGGATATGTTGCCCAGGCTGAGAAGCCCTGTAGTGACTCTGGAGTAAGAAAGACCTGGCTTCAATCCCTGCTGTTTAACCTTGAACTAAGTTGTGTAATCAACCATTCTGAACCTTGGTTACTCATTTGTAATATGGTGATGAAAATATGTCACAAGGCTGTTTAAAGAACTAAGTGAAAGTGAATGTGAAGCGCCTAGCATGGTGCCTGGTACACAGAAGGCATCTGATACCTATTCCAGAATCTTTTCTGGGATAAAGTGGGTTATTTCCCTTTTGGGAGCTACAATAAACTTGGGTCTTTGTGAAAGGGCTGGGGAGTAAGACCAGGTCTATGTATATAGTCAATTCAATGATATTCTTTTTGAGACAGAGTCTCACTCTACCACCCAGGCTGGAGTGCAGTGGTGTGATCTCAGCTCACTGCAACCTCCACCTCCCGGGTTCAAGTGATTCTTCTGCCTCAGCCTCCCGAGTAGCTGGGATTATAGGTGCGTGCTACTGTGCCCAGCTAATTTTTGTATTTTTAGTTAAGATGGGGTTCTTCATGTTGGCCAGGCTGGTCTGGAACTCCTGACCTCAGGGGACCTGCCCACCTCAGCCTCCAAAAGTGCTGGGATTACAAGTGTGAGCCACTGCACCCGGCTAATGATATTCTTAAATAAGCCCCTATTTATGTTATTTATTTTTTGGGACAGTGGAGTCTTGCTCTGTTGCCCAGACTGGAGTGCAGTGGCGCGATTTTGGCTCTCAGTGCAACTTCCTCCTCCCAGGCTCAAGTGATACTTGTGCCTTAGCCTCCCAAGTGGCTGGGACTAAAGGCATGAGCCACCATGCCCAGCTAATTTTTGTATTTTTAATAGACGGGTGACTATGTTGCCCATGCTGGTCTCAAACTCATGGATAGCTTCAAGCAATCCACCTGCCTCAGCCTCCCAAAGTACTGGGATTACAGGCATGAGCCATTGAGCCTGACTCCCTATTAACATTGTTTTAAAAAACCTATTTACCTTTAGATAAATGTTTTGAGGTGATGGATATGCTAATTACTCTGATTTAATCATCACATGTATATCTGCATCAAAATATCATACTATACCTCATAAATATGTACAATTATGTGTCAATTAAAGCAAAAATTTTTTTGAATGTTCATAGAAGCTTTTAAAGGAATTTATTTCTAATAATAAACTCAAGAATTAGAAAAATAATTACAGAGTCAGGATCATTTTGTGGAGGAAATGCATATGTAAGCCTGGAACAGAGGGCATAAAAAAATAACATTACCCTCATAAGTATATACTTAAAAAAATTTTTTTTAAAGATGCAGATAGAAAAAAAATTAAAAACACATTTTACTTTTAACAGGGCACTTTCAACTACACTTCTTGTATCACAATACTGCCTGGATAACTTTTTAAAGAATTATTACAAATGACAGGAAAAGCCAGTTAAAGTCAAGGGAGGTGAAGAGTTTTCAGTTTTCCCTGCCAATCTAAACCACCAGTCCAGCTAGGACTCAGTGAGGAGTGCAGAGCAGGAACACAAGAGTGTTGCGATGTCAAAAACAGCAGTTATTTTATATCATGGGTTTTGAATCACTGATATTCTGTTGTTTTTTATTGCTATACCAGAAATAATGGTATTTTTGAAACATTTCACGTTCTGAATGACCTGTTCTTAATATTTTACACTTTCCTCTTAGGATGGGTGGTCTTCATTTATTTCCCCAGAAATGTAGGTGAGGTGATTGTTTATAGAACTTACATCTTTAAATGCTCTCAATCGTTGGAGTGTTTTTTGGCGTTCTTGGTTGATCCATTCTTTGTTCTTTTGTTCCTCCTCTTTTAGCTTGTCTCTTTTCTGTATTTAAACAAATGTGTATTTGTAAGTTGCTCAACATTACAAAAAAATGTCTTGACAAAAAAGAGACTGTGCCCCAACATTACCAGCCCCCCAAGGCTGCACCCAGGCTGCAGGCCTGGAGGTGAATGGCTGACAGCTGCAGGTCCAGGGCAGCGCAACTCCAGTTTCCACAAGTCTAGGCCTGCATATCACACTACACAAACACAGAATGTTTTCTTTCAGAGACTCACCATCTGAATACTATGATGCTGACGAGAGTATCTTCTGCTTTCTTCAGCCTGTTGCAATCTGAGCTGATGATTTTCTTTGCACTGATCCTGGTGGAATAATACAAATCACCTACATGGTTTTTAATATTACCCTTGTATAGCATAAAAGGTTGAAAGAAAAAAAGCACTGCATTTGGGCTGTAGTGTAAGGCATTCATTAATATTAGTTCTGGCGCAGCCCAATGGTACTGTCTCCTCCACCATCTACGATGAGAGTTGCTTGGCTGCTTATGGAAAGAATTTGTTCCCAGCAGAGTGCTTTGAGAGATGAAAAACAATCCGCCAAACGTGAAAGGACATATAGGTAGCCCTCATTCTTAAATGAGATGTGTCCCAACAATCTGTTTTAATGTGATTGTTTTAAACATATTTCCTCATATTATAAATACTAGTTACATTTCCAAGCATACTTACAAAAGCAGAGCAACCTACAACTATCTGAAAAATTATGTTAATAACTGTTTCACCTGTGTTTAACCACTCATTATACCAATATATCCTTTATGTACGTAAAATTCTTTTTTTTTTTTTTTTTTTTTTCTTTTTTTTTTTTTGAGATGGAGTCTTGCTCTGTTGCCCAGGCTGGAGTGCAGTGGCATGATCTCGGCTCATCACAACCTCTGCCTCCCAAGTAGCTGGGATTAGAGGTGCACACCACCACATCCAGCTAATTTTTGTATTTTTAGTAGAGACAGGGTTTCACTGTGTTTGTCAGGCTGGTCTCGAACTCCTGACCTTGTTATCCACCCGCCTCGGCCTCCCAAAGTGCTGGGATTACTGGCCTGAGTCACTGCACCCAGCTGCAAAATTCTTCATCTATGTAAAAAAATACAGTAATACTCACAGATAATATTAACATTTATTGAGGTTTTAGATGCTGGCCTCAATGCCAACTACTTTTCATGGCTTATGCTACTTTATCCTCACATGAATCATGAGATTTGTATTACCACTATCATCCTCTATTTAACAGATGAGAAAACTGAGCTCCAAAGAGATTTAAATAATTTACCTAAGGTCACATGGCTATCTAAGTGGACAAGCTATGATTTGAACCCAAGTTGAGAGCTCACCTCAACTGCCATTCTATTAACCGAGTGCCTTCCAAATTCCAACATTTCCAGAATCAGTGCATGAGCTCCCCTAAATGAGGTAGGGGGAGTGATTATATCTTGAGAGTGAAAGTTAATGCTCCAAGTCTGGATAGAGAAGGCACAGGAGCATTTTATGTACACACACACACACAGCCAAGGAGGGAGAGGCATCTCATCCACAGTGCCATGGGAATGCCAAAGGAGACTTCTCTCAGTGCTCATGGTTTTTCTGAAATGTGGAGCAAAGGGCAAATGCCTGTATATCTTTAAATCCTCTGAAGAACAGTTCCTAAATCCAGAAGTACAATTCTTAAACACAAACATTCAAATAATATACTCTTCTAACAAAGTTTTTTAGTTTTATTCATTATTAGAGACAGGGTCTCGTTCTGTCACCCAGGCTGAAGTGTAGTGGTGCAATCATAGTTCACTGAAGGCTCAACCTCCTGGCCTCAAGCGATCCTCCTGCCTCAGCTTCTTCAGTAGCTGGCTCTATAGGTGCACACCATAGAGATGAAGTCTCACTGTGTTGTCTGGTCTCAAACTTCTGGCCTTAAGTGATTCTCTCACCTCAGCCTCCCAAAGTACTGGGATTACAGGCATAAGCCACCACACCTAGTCAAGCTTTTTTTTTAGGTATTTGTGTTTACATGGAAGAGTAACATTTTTGTAAGCTACAAAAGTCACAATTTTTGTGTTTTCCTAATTCTAATAAGAAAAGTATAGTAGGCTGGGTGTGGTGCCTATAATCCCAGCACTTTGGGAGGCCGAGGCAGGTAGACTGTTTGAGGTCAGGAGTTCAAGACCAGCCTGACCAACATAGTGAAACCCTGTCTCTACTAAAAATACAAAAACTAACCGGATGTGGTGGCAAGCACCTGTAATCCCAGCTATGTGGGAGGCTGAGTCAGGAGACTTGCTTGAACCTGGTAGGCAGAGGTTGCAGTGAGCCAAGATCATGCCATCACACTCCAGCCTGGGAGACAAAGCAAGACTCCATCTCAAAACAAAACAAAAAGTATAGTAAATGTGACTAAATACATATAAAAGTCTAGATAAAAATGATATTTAGAAGCTTCCTTTTCTGTTGGAAAAAATTAAATTTCTTCGTGTGTTATTTTTTTATGTATTCATGGATTTTTAAAAATTAAGAAAATCGTCAGGCGTGAGGCTCACGCCTGTAATTCCAGCACTGAGGCAGAGGCCAAGGCAGGCAGATCACTTGAGGTAAGAAGTTCGAAACCATCCTGGCCAACATGGTGAAACCCCGTCTCTACCAAAAATCAAAACAATTAGCCAGGCAGGTTCTCCTGCCTTAGCCTCCCAAATAGCTGGGATTACAGGCACGCACCTGTAATCCCAGCTATTTGGGAGGCTAAGGCAGGAAAACTGCTTGAACCTGGGAGGTAGAGGTTTCAGTGAGCCCAGATTGCACCACTGCATTCCAGCCTGGGCGACAGAGCAAGACTCCGTCTAAAAAAAAAAAAATTAAAAAATCACCAAATATAAGCTCTGAAATGAGCTGAATATTATATCCGTAATTGATTTTTGTTCTCAATAATTTACCAAAAAAATATTTAGAATTGTTACAGTTGGTTATTAGAATTTTTAAAGTACCTGTGGTCCAGGGGCAGTGGCTCACACCTGTAATCCCAGTACTTTGGGAGGCCAAGGTGGATGGATCACTTGTGGTCAGAGTTCAAGACAAGCCTAGCCAACATGGCAAAACCCCGTCTCTACAAAATACACAAAAATTAGCTGGGCATGGTGGTACGTGCCTGTAATCCCAGCTACTTGGGAGTCTGAGGCACAAGAATCCCTTGAACCTGGGAGGTGGATGTTGCAGTGAGCCTAGGTCACGCCTCAGTACCCCAGTCTGGGTGACAAAGCAAGACTCTGTCTCAAAAATAAAAATAAAGTGCCTGTGTATGCAATGGGCATTCAGCCAATAGTTATTGAATGAATAAATTAAAACCTTGAGATTTGCTAAATGCTTAAAAATATTCTTTTTTTCTTTTGGGATTTAAGAAAAATATTAAAAGCATTTTAACTATAGCCATGGATAAGTACATAAGCACATAAAAAATTAATGACTGTGTTGGTAAAAACCTTATTTCAATACCTCTTTATCCTTCATAAAAGAATATCTGGAAGAGAAAAGAAAGCTGCTCTGGGCATACCTACCTTTTTGCTCCGGAGAGAGGCTCTTTTGGCACAGATCCTGCCCCTTTTAGACTCCAGCTGCTGGCACTGCCTTCTGAGTTCTTTCACTTCCAAATTCTTACTGTCCTGCAGCCCCACCACACAGTCAATGACTTTAAGTTCCTCTGGACTTTCACACGGATCATAATAGACAACTTCATCCTGTTTTTCTAAAAATGTATTAACAATTGTTTAAAACATTTTATTATTTTAGAAAATGCACTAAATTTGTTTAAATGTAAGGAAAATAAAGATCACTTGTAATCCAACCACTGAGGGAGAAGCACTATTTACATATATATAAAACTTATGTGTGTATATATAGGTAATATACATATACACGTGTATATATATATGAATGTATACATGTATGTGCATATACACATACACTACTTACATAGCTACACATATCAACAGAATTCTAAGACATCATTTTTCATGGAATGGAAATAAAAATTTTTAGGCCAGGCACAGTGGCTCACACCTGTAATCCCAGCACTTTGGGAGGATAAGGCAGGCAGAACACGCGAGGTCAAGACCAGCCTGGCCAACATGGCCATCCCTACTACTAAATATACAAAGATCAGCTGGGTATAGTAGCACATGCCCGTAATCCCAGCTACTCAAGAGGCTGAGGCAGGAGAACCGCATGAACCTCGGAGGCAGAGGTTGCAGTGAGCCGAGATCACACCACTGCACTCCAGCCTGAGCAACAGAGCGAGACTCCATCTCCAAAAATTAAAAAAAAATTTAAAAATAAGGTAAATTTTAATGGCAGCATAGTATTCTCTAAGCAATCCATGTTGTTAGGCTATTCCAATGTTCCATTATTATTCATTTCACTGTGATGAAATCTCTGTATAAATCTTTCTGTACACTTATTATTTCCTTAACAGACAAATATTTAAGAATCTTGATGCGCATTGCCAAATTGCCCTCCAGAAAGGCAACTCACATTCTACCAGCAATATATTAAGATGCCTTAATGATATTTAATCTTGATTACCTATTGATTTTTTAAAAGTCATGCTTAATGTAACAAATTCAGACCCTCCAGAGTACATAAAATGAACAGTGAAATTTTCTTGCTCCTTCCCTAAACTTTCTGAGTCATTCTCAGAGGAAAAACATTATGAACAATTTGGCATGCATCCTTCCAGATTAACTTTTTTAAATGTAATTTTTCCCTAAATATGTAAAATGCTTATAATCTGAAACTACTACAAAAAATTCTGAATACTCAGGATTAAACTAAAAGCTGAGGATCTATGTGAAGAAATTTATTAAACTTGGAGACACTTTAAGAAAAAAGATTTAAATAAATGGAGAAACATACCATGTTCTTGGGTGGGAAGATTCAAATTGCAAAGACCACTATTCTCCCCAAAGTAATTCCTAATTTTAAGCAAAATCACAATCAAAATTCCAACGAGTTTTTGTTTTGAACTTGATTCTAAATTTCATCTGGAAGAATAAAGGAGTTAAAATAGTCAGAAAACATCTGAAGAAGTAATGGGGCGGTGGGCACTTGCCTTACTAGACCCTAAAAATGTGCTTCCAAGGTACAGTCATTAGAACAGTGTGGAGCCAGCAGCAGCAGCCGCTCACAAACCAATGGAGAATAACTCAGAAATAGACCAAAGTTAATCTAATGTTTAACTTGAGAAATGTTAAATATTTAGGGGAAAATGGTTTTAAAATCAGTGATTGGGACTGCTTAACAATTTGAGGGAAAGGTTCAATTCCTACTACAATCAAAATAAATTCCACCTGGACAAAAGAATTACATGTTTTAAAAGCAACCTCATAAACATACTAAAAGAAAACATAAATGTATACTGACATAATTTTGGGATAGGAAGACTTTGCCAGACAACACTAAAAGCAGAAGCCATAGGGGTAAAAATAAAACACGACTTCATAAAAATTATTTCTGAAAGGCAAGAAAACACAGATGACAGGAAGAGATTATTTGCAACATATGACAGACAATAGAGGATATTATTCTTAGGGTGGAAAGAAAACATTTCAAGGAAAAATGGACAAAGACCATGAATAGTCATTTCATAAGTACAGATGGCTCGTAAACATACAAAATTGTAGTCAATATTCACTCATAATTAAATGAAAATTAGAGACTGCCATTTTCTCTGTTAAGTAAACAAAAATGCAGAAGAATGGCATGAGTCTGGGAAACATACACACTCATATTCTGCTGATGGGAGCATCTTTTTTTTTTTTTTTTTTAGGCAGAGTCTTGCTCTGTCACCCAGGCTAGAGTGCAGTGGTGCCATCTCAGCTCACTGCAACCTCTGCCTTCTGGGTTCAACCAATTCTACCTCAGCCTCCCAGGTAGCTGGAATTATAGGCACCTGCCACCATGCCCCACTAATTTTTGTATTTTTAATAGAGACAGTCTTGAACTTCTGACCTCAAGTGATCCTCCCAAAGTGTTAAGATTACAGGCATGAGCCACCACACCCAGCTTGGAGGGTCATTTTAAATATACAGCCTATCTAGAGGGCCATTATGTAGTATGAAATTTAGAAATCAAAATACAGAGGTGAAGAAAAATGTATCTCAGATGATTGTTCTGTTGTTTGAACAGATATATATCAAAATGTAAAATATACATTGCCCTTGACCCAATAATTCCATCCTTAGAAATTTATTCCAAGGAAATAATCTGTCCTATACTCAAAGACATGTGTAAAGGAAAGTAACTACACTACTGTTGAAAACAGCAGATTGGAAATCATGATATATCCATGTAATAGAATACTATGCAGCCATTAAAATTTTGATACTTTTATTATTTACTGAAATGGAAAGACAGTTATTATGTATTAAATGAAAAAGAGACTTATTACGCATTATATGCCTCTGTCAAAATATCTCATGTAACCCATAAGTATACGTACTGACTCTGTATCCACAAAAATTAATTTTAAAAAAGAGGTTACTAAACTGGTTATGTAGTTTTGGTTAAAAATTTATATTTTTATGTATCAGCATATTTAAAAATCTACAAAGTTATACAGCAAATTGTTACCAGTAAGAATCTCTTTTCTTTTCTTTTTTGAGATGGTCTCGCTCTGTTGCCAAGGCCAGAGTGCAGTGGCACGATCTTGGCACACTGCAACCTCCGCCTCTCAGGTTGAAGCTATTCTCCTGCCTCAGCCTCCTGAGTAGCTGGAATTACAGGCATGCACCACCACGTCCAGCTAATTTTGTATTTTTAGTAGAGACGGGATTTCTCCATGTTGGTCAGGCCAGTCTTGAACTCCCGACCTCAGGTGATCTGCTCGCCTCAGCCTCCCAAAGTGCTGGGATTACAGGTGTGAGCCACTACACCCAGCCTCAGACTTTGTATTTTTAGTAGAGACAGGGTTTAGTATTTTTGTATTTTTAGTAGAGATGGGGTTTCACCATGTTGGTCAGGCCGGTCTGGAACTCCTGACCTCAAGTGATCCGCCCTCCTCAGCCTCCCAAAGTGCTGGGATTACAGGCATGGGCCACCACAGCCAGCCAACCACTAAGTATCTGTAGATGATGGGCTTGGGATAATAATCATTTTTGTTTGTTTTGCTATGTGTTAATGAATATTATTTGAGTAATAAACCACTGAAGGAAAACGTTAGGAAATTTTCAGATGTTATAATTTACAAAATGTAATTAATATGGTCTGTATTTCCTTGAATTTGTAATTTAAACATTGTAATCTATATACTTAAATATAAATTTTACCTTTTATAAGTCTTTTAAGAGAGTCCAACTGTGTAGTGAGCAGTATTTCTTCATTTTTTAATATCTCAAATTTAACATCATATAGTTCTAACTGAATTTCATAAAATTGTATTTCTAATTCATCTACAACATTGATATTTTTTTCTTGTTCTGGAAGATCTTCCATCTTGTTTTCATAGAAAAAAGGAAAATACGTTAAAATAAATTAGTATATTAAAAACAAACTTTAGAAGCATTCTGGCTATTTTCTATTCCTTGTTCAGTACTAAATATAAAAAGGCAAATAGGAAAGAAACACTTTTTCATTTCATCTAGTGATGCAAATACTTAATCTCATCCTTGAAACAGAGGAAAACATAGGTTTGAGGTATTATTATGAACTGAATATTGGTGTCCCTTCAAAATTCATATGTTGACACTCTTAACTCCCAATGTGACCTTATTTGGAGGTGAGTCCTTTGGAAGTAATTAGGTTCATATTATGTCAAAAGGGTGGTGCCCCCATCATGGGATTAGTGCCCTCCTACGAAGAGAAAGAGGGATCACTTTCTTTCTCTCTAAACATACACACAGACGAAAGGCTATACGAGCACTCTGTAAGAAGGCAACTGTCTACCAGCCAGAAAGGGGACCCTACAATTAATCTGTAGGCACCTTGATCTTGGACTTGCCATCCTCCAGAACTATGAGAAATACACGTCTGTTGTTTAAGCCACCTATTTGTGATATTTAACCTTGTTACAGCAGCCTGGGCCAACTGAGACAGGAGTTTACAGTGTTTTCTGTTTTAAAGTCATAAGATGATAGGAAAAAAATTAAGTGACTCTGATCCTTCAGTGAAATATGTCTTTGATTATTTTAAAGTTGTACTGAAAACACTGCTCGATTGATTTTCAAGTGCAGTACCCACTTCAATACTCAGCTCAGTGTTACCATAAAGTGAATCCTACAATATGGTATTTCAAAACATCTTAACCAAAGAAAAACTTTATGTCTAACCTTCCGTAGAAGATGGTGTTGGAATAAGTGAATTAAAGAAGTTCTTTAATGATGCCTGGAAAGAAAAGTGCTATCTAAAAATAAAAATGTATTTTTACCACATGTTCTCACTTCTAAGTGGGAGCTAAGTAATGTGTATACATAGAGAGTGGAATAATAGACACTGGAGACTCAGAAGAGCAAGAGGGTGGGAGGGGAGACGAGAGATATTTAATGGGTACAATTACATTATACAGGTGATGATTACACTAAAAGCCCAGACTTCACCACTATACAATATATCCATGGAACAAAACTGCATTTGCATCCTTTATAAAAATTTTTAAAAAACAAAAGAGTATTTTTTTTTTAAAGGCTGGTCATGCGAAGCAGCGGGAGTGGAGAAGGAACAAAATCTGTAACTGGTTGTCATTGATTAGTTGTAAATACCACTGCACTGGAACCAGCCAAAAGTGTATTTTTAAAACAAAGTTATGTTTATCTTTGTCTTACCTTTGCCTGAATTTCAGCTCTTTTGTGATTTAAACACAGCTCTTTCGCTCTCATGAGTTGCAAAATCTCTCGAGCTAGCATTAGCTTAAGTTTTTCCAACCTGGGAGTTGCTGTGGCCCAGGCAGCCTGGCCAAATCTCTTCCCATCCTGTTCCATTTGTTTCTGCATTGCTGTTGGATTTTTAAAATAAAATACAATTACACCTCATTAAAATGGGAAACATTTATCATGAACTAATGCTTTTTTATTGCCTCCATACCACCTGCAGAACATCCTTTTTAAAAGAAATTTTTTAATTAACTTTTTTATTATAAAAATAATACATGGTCATTGATATAAACTTTTAGGTATTCCATTTTTAAAAAGACATAAGTCATGATCTCACCTAGTTGAGGCAATTGCTTCTTATATTTTGGCACATTTGCTTCCGTATTGTTTCTACATCTAGCTAGACAGACAGGCTTATATGGATAGTTTGACCAAAAAACCTGGATCATCATTCTGCTTTATATCTTGACTCTGCACAATAAATTAGAAACTCTTCCACTCATTAAAAAAAAAACATCAAGAATCATGCTTAACATCTATGTAGTTTTCTGTTTTAGGAATGAACCATAACAAACTGACAGACGTTGTTTCCTATTCTTTGCTTTTATCAACAATTATTTAAGACTAAAATAGGCCGGGCGCGGTGGCTTACGCCTGTAATCCCAGCACTTTGGGAGGCTGAGGCGGGTGGATCACGAGGTCAAGAGATTGAGACCATCCTGGTCAACATGGTGAAACCCCATCTCTACTAAAAATACAAAAATTAGCTGGGCATGGTGGCGCATGCCTGTAATCCCAGCTACTCAGGAGGCTGAGGCAGGAGAATTGCCTGGACCCAGGAGGCGGAGGTTGCGGTGAGCCGAGATTGTGCCATTGCACTCCAGCCTGCGGAACAAGAGCGAAACTCCATCTCAAAAAAAAAAAAAAAAAAAAAAAAAAAGACTAAAAGTCCTTCACCCAGCCCACAAACCCCTGCATGGTCTGACCCCTGCCTGTCTTACCAGCGTTTTCCATCATACCATATTATTTTCCACTCTCTGTGATCCAGCCCTGCAGGTTATCTTTAAGCACCTATTTGCCAACTTCCCTTAAGCCAGGGGACCTTTGCCAGTGCTATCCCCTTGTGCCTGGAACACTCCTCACTTTTTCTGTCATTTCAGCTTCTATTTACTCTTCAGATATTGGGGCAAGTGCCACTTCTAAGAGGCCTTCAGTGACCACCCTGATCAAGCCCAGTTTCTCTCACAAACTCTCAGAGCCCCATCTCTCTCTCTTGTGATATTTATTGTCACTGCCATTTTCCATGTGCTTCAATGAATAATTAAGATTTCTCTCCCTTCACCAGACTGTACAATGTCTCTTAATGCTTGACACCGAGTTCTTAGCACCTAGAAAACAGTGCCTGGTGCTTAAGTGGCACTCAAATGGTATCTGAATAAAATGACAATTACGTGTATCTTTGTAAAGCGTTTTTTAAATTATCACCTGCTAATGCTTTTACTGTCTCCTTAAAATAATTCACTGTGATATCTTGAATAGAGATGACAGCTTCTTCAGCCCGTCTGGTCCATTCTTCGGCTTCTTTCTCCAGGGCTGCTACCCTTCTAGGACCTAGGTCATCCTCATCCAAGGACTTCTACAGACAGAAGGGAAATTTGTCTTAGTAAGAGCTAATAGTTATGTGACCCATTAGGAAACTGAAAGGAAATTGGTCACATGGATTAATTTAACTACACTACTACTTAGTCAAATTTTCATTCATTCATCAATCCCTTACTGAGTATGAATAAGGCTCTAAGCTGAGGACCACCTGGAATACAAAAAAGGACACTCTGGGGTATAAAGGAAAAAAACCTACTTTCAGTTTGCATGCCTAGAAACTTTTTCTGGAGAAGAATGTTGTAAAATTACGTTTCTCTCTATTATTAATAATACACAATTGTTCAAATGAGTGATCTGTGTTGTCAAGACTCAGCATAGGGACTGAAACAGCACTTAAGTGTTAGCTGTTATGGTTTCTTTTAAGGATATGTAATATAATCACCTAAAAGATAGTAGTTTCTGTATATTCATGCTATAACATGTACTGACATTGAACTGAATGTTTGGGTCCCCCCAAAATGCCTATGAAGCCTTAGTCCCCGGTGTGATGGTATTTGAAGATGGGACCTTCGGAAGGTAACTGTCATGAGGGTAGAGCCCTCAAGAATGGGATGAATGCCCTTATAAGAAGGAGACAAAGGATCTCTCTCTCTGCTCTTCACCGTGTGAAGACACAGCAACACTGTCATCTACAAATTAAGAAACTAGCCCTCACCAAGAAGCTGGATCTGCCAGCACTTGATCTTAGACTTCCCAGCCTCCAGAACTGTGAGAGAGTTTTGGTGTTTATAAGCCACCCTATCTCTGGTACTTTGTTATAGCAGCCTGAACTAAGACATGTACTGCTGTGTCATCCAATATGCAATTTTTCTTCTACAAAGCATAAGAAATAAGTGTAAGTTAGCCGACAAGGAATTACAAATCAAAACTATAACAAGATACCACTAGGATGGCTGTAACCAAAACAGACAGACAATAACAAGTGTTGGTGATAATGTGGACAAATTGGAACCCTCATTTACTGCTTTTGGAATTATAAAATGATGCACCCGCTTTGAAAAACCATCTGGCAGTCATTCAAAATGTTAAACATTGAGTAATCATATGACCCAGCAATCCTACTCCTCAGTACATTCACAATAGCATTTAAAACATCGTCTACACAGAAACTTACACACAAACATTCTTAGCAGCATTATTCATAATAGCCAAAAAGTGGAAACAACCCAAATGCCCATCAACTGATGAATAAAACGTCATATAGCTAGCCGGGCGTGGTGGTGCACGCCTCTAGTCCCAGGTACTTGGGAGGCTGAGGCAGAAGAATCATTTGAACCTGGGAGGCAGAGGTTGCAGTGAGGCGAGATCGCGCCACTGCACTCCAGCCTGGGCAAGCAAGACTCCATCTCAAAACACATGCGTGCGTGTGCGTGTGCGCGCGCGCGCGCGCGCGCGCACACACACACACACACACTCACAAATAAAATGTGATATATCCATACAATGAATATTATTGAGCAATAAAGGGGAATGAAATCCTGATATTTGGTACAACATGGATTAACTATGTTTTCAAGACATGCTGTTGTTATGTCCAGAGCAGGGAAATCCTCAGAGACAGAAAGCAGACTGGTGGGTTCCCAGAGCTGGGAGTGACTAATGAGTACAGGGTTTCTTTTGGGGTTGAAAATGTTCCGATATTACATAATGATCATTGCACAACTTTGAATATACTAAAAATCACTGAATCATACACTTTATATGTATATATATGTGTGTATGTGTATATAGATGGTCTGTGAATGCCATCTTAAAACAGCTGTTACTTAAAGGTAAAATATATGCAAGAAGCAGACTCTCCAAATAATAGACTTTCAAAATAATGAACAGAACAACTTTATCCACAGGTTAGAATGGCATAAGTTTCATCTCAAATGTGATACCATTTTTATAGTACAATCATCTGGCAGGGGTCATGAGATTATACGTGGAAAGATGGCCCAGTGCAGGAGACAGAGATCAAGAGACCTCTTAGGTGTCTTCCGATTCCAGTTGTTGAGACCCAAGGTGCGCTATTTAAGTCCTCTGGACTCTAGATTCACGGTAACACTGGAATAAGAATGCCTTTTCTGAATGGTGTGACAAGGTTGTCTCATGGCTCAATGAAGCAAGAACAATAACAGCATTTACTAAAATTTAAGTTACTGAATTACAATCTAGGGTCCTGCTATTTAAATTTTCATCCTATTTTAAGAAATCTGTATGAGCCCTTAGAGGAAAACAAGCCGAAGCAAGTAAACATCACATCAAAAACAATTCATCATGTCAGGCACAGTTCCAGCACTTCGGGAGGCTTGAGGGGGCAGGTGGATCATTTGAGGTCTATGGGTCAAGATGGCCAGGGGGAGACCTATATTAATTCTAGCCAAATAATTATAAGCCTGTTTGGCTCAGAGTACACTGAAGTTCATACACAGAACTATATTATTGGTGTAGTTAATTAGAAATCCAGCGGCAAGAAGAGGCCTAAGGTAAAGACCATCTGAGAGCACAGTAACACTGGGGAACACCTCAGGGTGGTTGCAGAGCAGGGAATGCTGCTCTGGTCCCACAAATGCCTTCTCAACACGGAGACTGTATAACGGCCTCGTAAAGAGGGCTTATGCAAAGATCTCTGAGAAGGAAGGCGACCTCTCCCACAAGATCTGGGAGGGTCTTTGCAGATGGGAGCTGGCAAGAGGAGAAAGCCTTTCAGGGCAGAGATCAAGGAACTGATCTCAGGATCTGCCTAGGTTCTCGGAATATGGAGTGACTTTAATTGCTCTATGTCCTCAATGCTCGGGAGATTAAAAACCCCCTTGATGCACTGGGAGTAGTCAGACAGGGTGGCTATGTTTCTGAGGCAGCCACACCCTGGTAACAATCGGTGATAAACTCAAGAGTACTAGTTTAGCATGTCTTAGAAGGATCTCAAGTGCTCTCCACCCAGCTATCTTACTTACTTCTTTACCCTCCCTTTTCAATGAGATTATATACATAATAAGTGTTTGGAGCCCAGAGCTCCGGGGCCATTGGTCCCCTGGACCCATGCTGTAAATTCTTCTCAGTGCTGGGACTAAGGACACCCACATACAGGGTTGGGCTGGTTCCCAACAAGGTCAGGAGTTCAAAACCAGCCTGGCCAACATGGTGAAACCCTATCTCTACTAAAAATACAAAAAAAAAAAATTAGCTGGTTGTGGTGGTGCACACATGTAATCCTAGCTACTTGGAGGCTGAAGCAGGAGAATTTCTTGAACCCAGAAAGAAGTTTCAGTGAGCCAAGATCATGCCACGGCACTCCAGCCTAGCTGACAGAGGGAGACCCTGTCTCAAAAAAAAAAAAAAAAAAATTCATTGGCAGAAAAAACATTTAACTCTTTCAAATCTGTAGGAATCTTGAGAAGATGACCAACATAAATGTCTTCATTTTCTATCAGTTTAAAATATAAATTCAATATTTAAACGTAAGGGTGAACTGAGCATAATGGCCCACGCCTGTAATTCTAGCACTTTGGGAGGCTAAAGTAAACCAACTGCTTGAGCTCTGGAGTTCGAGACCAGCCTGAGCAAAATGGCAAAACCTCATCTCTATCAATAAATAAGTAAATAAACATAAGAGTGAACCCAACAAAGTACAGAGATTGAACATTAAGTGTAACTAAGGACATATGACAAATGGTAAATCTGATTAAAAAAAAAAAAACATACCAAAATATCAAGCTTACATAAAGTTGCAACTTCTCGCATAGCCCTCAGTGGCTGCAATAAATATTGGAAGAACGTTGTTGCCACAGTAACTAATTCCTGGTATGCTTCATCTTCCTCTTGGTAAACTTTCATTAATGCTACCATGGTATTGGCTTTTGTGTGTCCTTGAAGAACCTAGAAAGCAAATGTGAATAAAGCTCATACATTTAAGATCATACATACCCAACAAATAAAAGAAACCTTCATGTTCTTAACTTTCTTTTTTTTTTTTTTTGAGACGGAGTTTCGCTCTTGTTACCCAGGCTGGAGTGCAATGGCGCGATCTCGGCTCACCGCAACCTCCGCCTCCTGGGTTCAGGCAATTCTCCTGCCTCAGCCTCCTGAGCAGCTGGGATTACAGGCACGCGCCACCATGCCCAGCTAATTTTTTGTAGGCTTTAGTAGAGACGGGGTTTCACCGTGTTGACCAGGATGGTCTCGATCTCTTGACCTCGTGATCCACCCGCCTCGGCCTCCCAAAGTGCTGGGATTACAGGCTTGAGCCACCGCGCCCGGCTATTAACTTTCAATACATTACTTTGAAATATGAAATATTAAAATGTTATCCTCCATCAAATATGCCCAATAAAACAAGAATGGTTAAGTAAATTATGATATATCCATGGCAGATTATTATTACTGTAGTCATTCAGCACTGTGCTTTTGAAGATTGTTCAATAATATGGAGACTTTTGGCTGGGTGCGGTGGCTCATGCCTGTAATCCCAGCACTTTGGGAGACCGAGGCAGGCAGATCACCTGAGGTCGGGAGTTCGAGACCAGCATGACCAACATGCAGAAACCCCATCTCTACTAAAAATACAAAATTAGCTGGGTGTGGTGGCACATGCCTGTAGTCCCAGCTACTTGAGAGGCTGAGGCAGGAGAATTGCTTGAACCCAGGAAGCAGAGGTTACTGTGAGCAGAGATAGTGCCATTGCACTCTAGCCTGGGCAACAAGAGCGGAACTCCATCTCAAGTAAAAGAAAAAACAAGCATAAGAAAAGAAAAGGACCCAATAGAAGGTTTGGGGTTGTGGATATTTTTTCATTTGACTTTTCTTACTGTAAAGGTTTTGCAAGGCTGTATCCTTTTTTAAAAGCCCATAAAACATTCCAGAGCTGTCTCCAAGCACTTCGGCATGTTGGTTCTCTTAATGCCCCAGGTTAATATTCCCACAAAGCCCTTAGCAGTCAACTCATTTACAGAGCCTCAGCTGTGGTTCCAGTCTCTGCTGGCTACTGCTTCTGCAGCAAGGTGGAAAATAAACTGAACAGTGTATAAGCTAGGTGGACTCATTTGGTAGGAAATTATCTTACTCCCCTAAAAGGAGAAATCAATTTTTTTTTCAACCAATACATTCTTAAATTCTATTTCCATCCTTCCGATTAAGGATAAAGCGATCTACTTTCAGCTGTAGGTTTTTTATTCAGGTAATATTATTATTATTTTTTTTTAAGTGGCAGCCTCACTGAACAAAATTAAAACACACATGCAAAAGTAAACTTAAGGCAAGTGATACATATCAGCCTTATGTCTTAGTCTATCCAGAAAAATTCCAGAGTTAAAACATTCAGCTTCATTTTATATATCCTAGTGACACTAGCAATTGGTCTAATTCTAGAATCAATTGCTTTTCTATTCTAAATATAAAGTAAATGTTAAAATTACTTGGACATGATTTGAATTTAAGCTTCCTCTCCCAAACCCCCATTTTTAAGTTCCAGGTAAATAAGTGAACTACTCTAATGTAAACAGCTATCTCAACAGTATGAGCTACATTCGTGCTACAGTACCCCAGAGTGAACGTAAATTTCAGGAAACTATAACTTTTCTGATATTAACTACAGTATATATATATCATATAAATGTTCGATTTTAAGGAGAAACCACCTATTTCTGTTAGAAACCAAGTGTGTAAAAAACAAGTTTGATACAAAATATTATCATTTTTGAAACCCCCTGTGGTTTCCTGTATCTTAAGGTGAAAATGATAAAGTTGAAGATCAAAAGCTGACTGGCCTGGCACTCCCCTGCAGTTTCCTCATATTCTAAAGTGAAGTCAACACGAGAAGTGGGTTGTAGATATTTACACATAAAACCCACAGTTTAAAAAAACCCACAGTACAAAAAGGACCCCATCAACGAGCTCCTTTTATAAAACCATTTTAATTTAGAAAGCTTATTCTATATTTAGTCAGGAGGACATAATTAAGATTTTGAAATGTAGCCGAGCTCTTCACCTCCCCTTCCTTAAAATAATGCACAGAAGAAAAATCATTCAGGTTAATAACAGCAATAAGCCAAGATCGTGCCACTGCATAGCAGCCTGGCTCTCCTTAGTAAACGGTGGGTGTGGATTTAGAAGGCATATTTTCTCCTAAACCCTTCTATGAACTTGTACTTCCTCCTCCCCTTAGATTCAGTAGGTGTTCAATAACTCCTTCTCAAACTACCTCTTTCAAGCTTAAAAGAGCACTCCTAGCCGGGTGCGGTGGCTCACGCCTGTAATCCCAACACTTTGGGAGGCCGAGGCGGGTGGATCACGAGGTCAAGAGATCGAGACCATCCTGGTCAACATGGTGAAACCCCGTCTCTACTAAAAATACAAAAAATTAGCTGGGCATGGTGGCGCGTGCCTGTAATCTCAGCTACTCGGGAGGCTGAGGCAGGAGAATTGCCTGAACCCAGGAGACGGAGGTTGCGGTGAGCCGAGATCGCGCCATTGCACCCAGCCTGGGTAACAAGAGCGAAACTCCGTCTTTAAAAAAAAAAAAAAAAAAACACTCCTGCGGTTATTCCAAACTGATGACTAAAGTTCACTTTCTGCCGGCTTTCCATTTGACCAAGTCTTTATTACTTAAAACACCCTGTCTCCTAAAAGCCATTTCTTCCGTTAAAGCATTTTATCCCGTTTGTGACTTTCCCTCATACACAGACTTGGAATTGCTTACATTTAGTCCGTGTTATTCTTTCCTACGTGGATGGGTTGTTTACAGTTTTGCTTGCAATATTTCTGTCATTTCCCGTTACAACACCCTGCTCTGCCAGCATCTCCAGGGCAAAGGTTGGGAGCCTAGCCCAGCTCCCAGCTGCAAGTACACTAGGCTCTAACTTCGCTCGCCCTCTCTGCAGGCCCTCCCGGGGCTCCCGCCCGCTTCGCACAGCGGTCCCGCGAAGGCGAAAGCACCGCGGAGTCCGCGGCCTTCTCCGCCCGCCAGCTCCCCCTCGTCAGCTGTCAGCCCCGGCTCTCGGCGCCCGGGGAGCCTCCTACAGGGTCCCGAGCCTAGGAAGCGCGGACTAGGCCCGGCCTCGCTTACCTGGCGCAGCCGCGCGTCCGCCTCGGCCCACCGCGCGCGCAGGGCCCGCTCCCGGAACTCGCGCAGGCTCTCGCAGTCTGCCGCGCCGCCCTCAGCCGGGAAGAGCGCGTCGCGCACGGTGGCGCCACCGCAGCCGTCTGCCGCCGCGCCCAGGTAGCGCTCCAGCTGTCCGCACAACTCCCGCAGCGCCGCCTCTCCGGGGCCCGCGCGCGCCGGCCACAGCAGCGCCCACAGCCCGAGCCCCAGGCCCCAAGCCCCGCCGCCGCCGCCACCTACGTCCAGCTCCGGTGGCAGCCGCGGGAAGCAGCGCTCTAGAGGCGGCCATAGCGCCGCCAGCTGCCGGTGCGCGCCGCGGAACCCCGCGGCCGAGAGCAGGCCGGCCCAGCTTGGGGGGGACACGGCGGCCTCGGGCTCGGGCTGGGCCCCCTCGCGCCGCCACCGCCGCTGCGCGGTGCGGTCGTGACAAGTCACAGCGAACTTGCCCTCCGTGCCGTTCCAGGCCACCAGGAAGCGCAGCCGGTGCCGCTCGGGCTCGGCGAAGAGGCCCTCCCGGACCGGCACCCAGCCCTCCAGGCTGTCAGGCTGCTCGTCCTCCATGACAGTCGGCGGCAGTTGGCGGCAGCGGCTCTAGGGCTCAGCGGGCGCGGGGCTGTCCTCCTCACACCCCCTGTCACGAGACAGCCCGAGCTGAGGCATTTTTCGCTGGAATCGAAACCGCGTCAGTGTCCCAGCGGCGCCCCGGTCCCCGGCACTTCTGATTGGCTGGCTGCTGGAGGCGGGGCTTAAGCGAAGTGTCCGTCCGGGATTGGTTGGGTGATAGAAGGGAGGGTCAGCGACAACTAATGAAAACGTGAGAAGGTCTCCCTCGGATGTCAATTATCTCGCAACCTGGTCCGGAGTCTGGGAAATACAACTCTTGCCTCACCTTTTCCACCCAATACATGCGAACGTTGGAAAAATATCTTTAAATGGGCGAGTTATTATCTTAGTCTCCCACACTAAACTATGAACTTCTATGAACAGGGACCAAGCTGATTTCCTCTTCTGTCATCACGGCCCTATTGAGTACATGGTTCCCGCCGTCAAGAATGTCACAAATGTGCTGGGGAGATGAAACAAACTTGATAGTCATTTATTGAGGGCTTCCAAATGCCAAGTACTGGACAGAAGCCACAAATTTACTTTTGTCAACTCAGCAAACTTTTACTGAGTGTTGGCTGTGTGCCAGTATTGAGAGGATGGAGTAAGAGGGAGAATTCAGGGCACCACAGCTCCCAGCCAGGGTGTTTAAATACAATCTGCATTCCAACTCTTCACTTTATACCAAGTACCAGCTCGGCCATAGAGACCCCCCAGCCAGGCAGCCCTCAAGAACTGAGAGGCAGACACCCACATAAAACAGCAAAGTGGGCCAACAGCCTCCTGAGCTGAAAGCCCCTGACAGCATTCCAAACTGAAGGCCCCGAGTAGATGCTGACCCATGCATTTATTCTCCCTGAACAGGTGATCGCTATTAACAAACAGGTGTTCTGTGTTTTCTCATAACACAAAACACGCCAAGTAGGCAGCTGGTGCCTACTTACAACTGATCACAAACAACCTAAAAAGTATTCTCCACGAGGGAGCCACGGGGGCAGGGTCAGCTATCTTAAAGAATTGTTTTAACCGGTGTGTGATATTTACACATTGTCCCGCCACTTTGGAATGCCCCAAGTAGTTTTCTACTTGGGTGGGGGGGGGGGGCGCTGGTTTTCCTTGCCATCGTTCTTCCTAGCAAACAATATATTCTGTCATACACTCAGCATTCATCAATATTCATAAACTTAACATTTCTCAACAACTTTAGAGTTAAGGAAACAAAGGCCCAGACAAACTTAAGATACACCAAAACTCAGGCTCAACATGTCCACCTGGCTACTGAAGGCCTGTTTAAGGAGGTATCAGGAAATCCAGTTTCCATGTCAGGGTGGAGCTGGATCTGTTCATGCAATAAGGACGAAGATGGCGTATTTGTTTTTCAAGAGGAAACTGTCAATCTTTCTAATTATGAAAGTGTAGTGGGTGGCCGGGTGCAGTGACTCACACCTGTAATCCCAGCACTGTTGGAAGCTGAGGTGGGAAGATCACTTGAGGTCAGGAGTTCTAGACCAGCCTGGCCAACATGCCCAAACCCTCTCTCTACTAAAAATACACACACACACACACACACACACACACACACACACAGAAATTATCCAGGCATACTGCATGCCCTATACTTCCAACTACTAAGGAGGTTGAGGCAGAAGAATTGTTGAACCCAGGAGGCAGAGGTTACAGTGAGCTGAAATTGTACCATAGCTCTCCAGCCTGAGTGAAACAGTCAGACTTTGTCTCAAGAAAAAAAAGAAAAAAGTCTCCTCTACATATATTAATATATGTCTTAGTCCATTCAGGCTGCTAGGACAGAATACCATAGACTGGGTGGCTTATGAACGACAAACATTTATTTCTCATAGTTCTGGAGGCTGGAAAATCCAAGATTAAAGCACTGGCAGATTCAGTGTCTGGAAAGGAAGGGCCTGCTTCTTGGTTCACAGATACTTGTATTTTTTTTTTTTTTTTTTTTTGAGTTGGAGTTTCATTCTTGTTGCCCAGGCTGGAGGCGATCTCAGCTCACCTCCGCCTCCCGGAAGCAATTCGCCTGCCTCAGCCTTCCGAGTAGCTGGATTACAGGTGGGCACCACCATGCCCAGCTAATTCTGTATTTTTAGTAAAGATGGGGTTTCTCCATGTTGGTCGGGCTGGTCTCGAACTCCCAACCTCAGGTGATCCACCCACTTTGGCCTCCCAAAGTGCTGGGATTACAGGCATGAGCCACTGCGCCCGGCCGATGCCTGTATTCTTACTGCATCTTCACATGGCACAGCTCTCAGGGACCGCCAGTGTAATGGCACTAATTTTATTCACGAGGGCTTGCCTTCATGACCAAATCACCTCCCAAAGGCCACGTTTCCAAATACCATCATGTTGGGGATTTGGTTTCAACATGGGAATTTTGGGGGAATATAAACTGTCTATAGTATATGAATGTATATGTATGATGGTTAATTTTATGTGTCAACTTGATTGGGCCACCAGAATGCCCAAGTATTTGGTCAAACATTATTCTGGGTGTGTGTGTGGATGAGGTTAACCTTTGAGTCAGTAGACTGAGTAAAGCTGGTTGCCCTCCCGAATGTGAGTGGACCTCATCCAATCAATTGAGGGTCTGAATAGAAAAAAAAGCTTGAATAACAGGGAATTCTTCCTGCCTAACTGCCTTCAAGTGGGGATATGGGTTTTTCCCTGCCTTCCAACTCAGACGGAGACATTAGCTCTCCAGGGTATTGAGCCTACTGGCCTTTGGACTAGAACCACATCAGTGGCTCCCTTGGATCTTCCGCTTGCTAACTGCAGATCTTGGGACTTTTTGGTCTTCATAATTACATGAGTCAATTCCTTACGATAAATCTGCTTTCATATATGTATACATTCTATTGGTTCTGTTTCTCTGAACTTTATTACTGTGTGTGTGTGTGTGTGTGTGTGTGAGAGAGAGAGAGAGAGGAGAAAGAGAGAGAGAGATTATGCTGTTAATATGTTAATATACTGGTCTGTGGGCTCAGCATTAAAGTAGGAATTTGCAACACACTCCACAGTTAACACTCACTTTTTTCCTCAACACCTAGAAGTTTTCCATTTCTTAACAGAATCAGAATTTGGGGAGAAAGGAACATTGATAATAAATTGTCATTTTACAAATGATGAAACTAAAGCTTAGAGGAATAATCGATCACAGTCCATAATGAATGTATTGGCCGGACAGTCCCATCTCTATGTCATACTGTGGCAATGTTTTAAAAAAATGTTTGCTTAAGGCTTATATGGAAAGTATGTCCTGTGCTTTAATTGGAAGAGTCCCCCGACATATTTTTCAACCTTTTATGGTTCATGAGCACCTCTGAGAATCTACTGAAACCTGTGAGTTCTCATCCCAGAAGTGATTCCATAAAAACACAAACATAATTTTGCATATAATTTTAGAAACTCATTCATGTAGCCCCTGGCAATTCCTCAGCCATAGCTAAAGAAAACTTGCTTTAAGGCGTTAGCTATGCAGTAATACGAAGGAGTTCAAATCAGCTTTACAGGCACAGCCCACTTAAAAATATCTCATGGCATTTTCTACACTCACAAAACAGGCATCCACATTATCATTAGTATTAGTTTTTTTAAGAGACAGGGTCTCTGTCACCAGACTGGAGTGACAGTGACACAATCACAGCTCACTGCAGCCTCAAACTACCAGGCTCAAATGGTCCTTCTCCCTTAGCCTCTCAAGCAGCTGGGACTATAGTCATGAACCGCCGTAGCTAGCTCCACATCATTATTTTTAATTTTTGAGACAGGGTCTTGCTCTGTCACCAGGCTGAATTGCAGTGGCCTCATCAGAGCTCACTGCAGCCTCGACCTCTCAGGCTCAAGCAATCCTCCCTCCTCAGCCTCCCAAGCAGCTGGGACTACAGTCATGCACCAACACGTCTGGCTAATTTTTTATTTGTGGCTATGGGGGTTTCACCACGTTGCCAAGGCTGGTCTCAAACTCCCACGCTCCAGTGATGGGAATAGCTTCAATCAAGCAGGGAGAATCAAATGATGGGAATCCTGGTCCCATAATGGGAATCTCCAGAGATTCCCCATGAAAGAGAGTCAGAGCTAAGCATACTCCAGGCCCAGAGAGCCTGAGGTCAGTACCCACCGTGATGTCTACTCAAATAGGAGACATCTTATGGCTTCAGCCCTCCCGCCCTGGTTTCTAAACCAGCAGTTCCAGGACGACAGTAAGGAGGAGAGGCCAACCCCATGCTTCTTTTCCCAGTGCAGGCTTCTTGCTAAAGAGGCCCACTCTGGGAAGGGAGAAGATTTGACTCTGGCTAAACCACATTTGGCTTGTTGATTAATGTGTTGAACGGGACATTCAATTCCTGAATTTGAGATGCTGACTTCAAGTGATTTTAAAACTGTGTGTCACCTAAGAGGAAGAAGAAAGTCATTGAGTCTGCTGGATTTTCATCCAAAGAAGGGAATAATTCCCACCTGGAGTACACTAAAGGAAAGTTGGGAGGGAAAGGTAAAGTTGCATTCGATTGCCTTCAGAGTGGGGCTTACCCAGAACACTTTGGAAGAAGACCCCCGGAAAGCCCTGGTGGAAGGCATGCAGCCCAAGGGCTCTCAAGAATCTCCTTCCTGGCCTTGCTGTGACAGTCCCCACCCGTCACCACATGACCAGCCACCTGAGACCCATAGTACAGCCACGAGTCTCAAACCCCCCACAGCTAAGGAAGTAACTCAGAGCACAGTATGTGACCTCTCCTGGTGACACTTGAGTAGTAAGAAGTGGCAGCTCAGCCACAGCAGGTCTATATTTGGACCTTCACTCATGGCAGGCCTGTTGCTATTTGCGGCTGGAGCCAGCTCATGTTACCATCCAGCCTCGGTGCCCCACTTGTGGAACTCTGGTGTATAATAGGCAGGGATACCCTGTGGGGCATGCAAAGGTCACCAGGAAGGAAAGCCTGCTGAACACGGATTCAATTTTCTAGCAGAACTCCAGGTCCTCTGAGTTAAAAGAAGCATTTATGGATGCTTAGCAGGCAAGTTCTGGGGTAGTCATATTCTTCTAATGCAAATTATATTATTAGAAACTCCAATGCAAATTATATTATTAGAAACTCAGGCTTACTGCTGCAATATTAATGTAATATCTTTCCTTTTTTTTTTTTTTTTTTTTTTTTTTTTTTTTTTTTTGGGGGGAGGGAGTTTCGCTCTTGTTACCCAGGCTGGAGTGCAATGGCGCGATCTCGGCTCACCGCAACCTCTGCCTCCTGGGTTCAGGCAATTCTCCTGTCTCAGCCTCCTGAGTAGCTGGGATTACAGGCACGCGCTACCATGCCCAGCTAATTTTTTGTATTTTTAGTAGAGACGGGGTTTCACCGTGTTGACCAGGATGGTCTCGATCTCTTGACCTCGTGATCCACCCGCCTCGGCCTCCCAAAGTGCTGGGATTACAGGCTTGAGCCACCGCGCCCGGCTAATATCTTTCCTTTAGGTGGGAAAAGATATCATGGTAAATTGCAGATGTTTAAATTACAATAAACAGTGCAAATGTTTTCTGTGCCTTCTTCAAATAAGAAGAAGGCACAGAACTGAACTGTTCGCATTAACTGAACATGATGTTGGGACAGGATGGGAGTGGCTCTGATTAACGTAGAGAGGGGCTGGTGATTCTTGCAATGTATCTTTAGGATATCTGTAATGCAGGGGCCCATTTGTTAGACCCATTTGCTAGAACAG